CTGTCTCTCTGTGTCTCTCTGTCTTTGTCTCTGTCCCTCTGTGTCTCTCTCTGTCTCTCTGGAGGGGGAGGGTGTGGCCTTCCCCAGGGGGCCGCCCTGCAGCGGAGGTATTCAGATGATTACGTAGTGTGAAGGCTTTGTGAGGGTCGCTGGCAGTGGCACCCAGGCCCACTACGCTCTTGGCTCCCCTCTCACAGCTGGGAACACCCCTGACATCACCGCCCTCCCCCCCCCCACCCTCCTACTGCGTTCCTGGTAGCTCTTCCTCCTCCTCCCCCAGGGTCTTGACCCGTGAGGCTCCGCACCCGGGCTCCTCACCTGCCGACCCCCGTCGTACCTTTTGACCTTCAGAGTCAAAATTAGCAGGAGGGTCAAGCTAGTAGTTGCGAGTATATATATATATATATATATATATATATATATATATATATATATATATATATATATATATATATATATATATATATATATATGTGCGTAGCGGGCAGTCCTAGGCACGTTGCTTTGTTGTGGCGGGGATTCATATCAGCTTACCCACGTGTGTTCATTTTACTCATGTGTGTTACTAGCTGTGACTCACCCTGGAGTACTGTGGGAACAGGTCAACGAACGTGACACACTGGAGGTGTTATAGACGCCGGGAGTAACGTGATCAAGGCCTACCTGGAGGTGGTGGAAGGGGGTAGCACACTGGGACAGGCACACCAGGGGCCTCGTAGCCTGGTGGATAGCGCGCAGGACTCGTAATTCTGTGGCGCGGGTTCGATTCCCGCACGAGGCAGAAACAAATGGGCAAAGTTTCTTTCACCCTAAGTGCCCCTGTTACCTAGCAGTAAATAGGTACCTGGGAGTTAGTCAGCTGTCACGGGCTGCTTCCTGGGGTGTGTGTGTGTGTGGTGTGGAAAAAAAACAAAAGTAGTTAGTAAACAGTTGATTGACAAGTTGAGAGGCGGGCCGAAAGAGCAAAGCTCAACCCCCGTAAAAACACAACTAGTAAACACACCAGGTGCCACCCAGGCCCCACCTGTCCTGTACTCATGTGTCCTAGGCTTATGTGTCCTGGACTCACGGGTTGTGTGGGTGTCACGAGTTTTGTAATCACGTACTCTCTCCTGGCGCCAGTACTCAGTACTCACACCATGAACACACACACACACAGGAAGCAGCTCGTAACAGCTGTGTGTGTGTGTGTGTGTGTGTGTGTGTGTGTGTGTGTGTGTGTGTGTGTGTGTGTGTGTGTGTGTGTGTGTGTGTGTGTGTGTGTGTGTGTGTGTGTGTTTGTTTTAAAGATAAATATATGCAATAAAAATAATAGTCTATTACTAAAAATAAATTGGCTAGAAAGACGAGGTCCAAGAGCTAATAGCTCGATTCTGCCTTCACAAATAGTCAATCCACACACCCCCGGGTAATTTGTGTGGGACTTGAAGAGCGGCGATACCAACCACGCTAACACAGTTCTTCATAACGTGAGCGTGCAGGGTGAGAGTGGCGCCAGACCCCTCTCTCTCTCTCTCTTGGCGTGACTCATGCCTCTCACTCTCACTGCGGCGGCCTTACACCTCTCACCTGCCTCACCCACACCTCTCACCCGCCTCACCCACACCTCTCACCTGCCTCACCCACACCTCTCACCTGCCTCACCCACACCTCTCACCCACCTCTCACCTGCCCCACCCACACCTCTCACCCGCCTCACCAACACCTCTCACCCGCCTCACCCACACCTCTCACCTGCCTCATCCACACCTCTCACCCACACCTCTCATTGTCTCTGACCATATTTACTATTTGCTTCAGATTATATTAGCCGTATACGTGAAGTTAAGGAGGTTCTCAATGCAAGAAAGTTTGCTCTAAATGTACAGAAGAACACGACTACATCTGGACATGTCGCCGAGGCTACTGGTGGTCAATAGATGACGCACTACGCATACCTTCGTCCGTAGTACAACGTGGTCTAGCCGCCTCCCCTATACGCACTGGATGACCGCTTCCTAGAACTCCCCCCAACCCACCCCCCTTACCCACAACCCCCTACCCTCCTCCCCCTCCTCATCAATTATTGTAGATACATGTAGTGGAGCTCGTAGCGGCCCCGTCTCCCTAGTAGAGAAGCTGGTATGTGTAGCAGAGTAGCGTACCTGTGATCTTGAACTGTGATAATCTTATATACGCGGACCAGAAGTCTAGAGGTAGTGGTGATCAAGTGCCTTTTCCCCCGTGTGTGTGTGTGTGTCCGCCCGGTACACCTTCACCCCCCAAACTCCCCTCCCTCGTCCCCAACCTTACCTGTGAAACCGTATAAAACAAAGACAAACTGTGAAGCTCAAGTCAGTGCCAAAAGTAATCTTTAAGACGGCAGTAGTGAGTGTCTTGGAGTGTTTTATGTGGAGCGCCCAGACCCGCACCAGCGACCCTATGTGTGACGTCATGCTGTCCACAGGCCATGGAGGTCAGGGCAGGTTCTCTCTCCAAAACCTCTTCCTCGGACAACGCTTTGCCTCCAAACTGGTGAGTGTTGCGGGAGGTTTTTGTGTTGTGGTGTTAAGTGACGGGGGTCCGTCCAGAGTGGGCGCCCCCTGGCCGGCTGGTGTACAGGTAAGTCTCTAGGTCATGGTTATTTCACGTTAGAATAGTTGGGGTGTGTTGACACACTCTGTAACGCAGGCGATGAGTCACAATAACATGGCTGAAGTATGTTGACCAGACCACACACTAGAAGTTGAAGGGACGACGACGTTTCGGTCCGTCCTGGACCATTCTCAAGTCGATTGTGACGGGGGGTCCGACTTGAGAATGGTCCGTGGAGACACAATCGACTTGAGAATGGTCCAGGACGGACCGAAACGTCGTCGTCCCTTCAACTTCTAGTGTGTGGTCTGGTCAACACTCTGTAACGCTGTTTACTGTAGCGTTGTGTGTGTGACGGGGGCGAGGGAGGTGAGTGACAGTAGCAGCGTGACGCGCCTCACATCACGGTCAAGGTAAGTAACGTTACGTGTCCATCAATCAGTCACACACACGGGCTCACTATATGTCTTCAACTCGCAGTCAAGAGTAAATCAACTTGAGGCAACAAGTAGCGCCATCTTGCCAGCGAGTTTCCTCCCCTGATGTGCTGAATAACACACCTGTGGAGACACTTCTAATTACTTAGGCTATCTAAGAAAGTAATTAATGAAGGTTGTCTCGTCTGGAGGCGGTGCAAGATGTGCAGTTGTGGTAGCTACGGCCAGCACCCGGGGTCATGTGCCCACCTGGACGATGGGCAGCAGGTAATGATACCTGGTTGATACCTGGTTGATACCTGGTTGATACCTGGTTGAGTAGTTCCTGGGCATGGGCAGGGAGGTGGTGCTCCCTGACGTCCTCCGTCCTGTACCCCCTGACTCCCTCTCTGCCTCCCTCACTGCCTCCCTCACTGCCTCCCTCCCTTCTCCCTCCTCTCCCCCTTCCCTGGGGACAAGAACACTTGGCCGTGTTGAAAAGGGGCAGTACAACTCTCCGGCAAGCGTTGCTCTTCACCTGTACACTTGACAGCATCTTGCCACCTTCCTCAGGTACCCATGTGAGCTACCTACCTGCTCTAGGAGCTCAGGGGAGCCATCTACCTGCTCCTAGGAGCTCAGGGGAGCCATCTACCTGCTCCTAGGAGCTCAGGGGAGCCATCTACCTGCTCCTAGGAGCTCAGGGGAGCCACCTACCTGCTCCAGGAGCTCAGATGAGCCACCTACCTGCTCCAGGAGCTCAGGGGAGCCACCTACCTGCCCCAGGAGCTCAGATGAGCCACCTACCTGCTCCAGGAGCTCAGATGAGCCACCTACCTGCTCCAGGAGCTCAGATGAGCCACCTACCTGCTCCAGGAGCTCAGATGAGCCACCTACCTGCTCCAGGAGCTCAGGGGAGCCACCTACCTGCTCCAGGAGCTCAGATGAGCCACCTACCTGCTCCAGGAGCTCAGATGAGCCACCTACCTGCTCCAGGAGCTCAGATGAGCCACCTACCTGCTCCAGGAGCTCAGATGAGCCACCTACCTGCTCCAGGAGCTCAGATGAGCCACCTACCTGCTCCAGGAGCTCAGATGAGCCACCTACCTGCTCCAGGAGCTCAGATGAGCCACCTACCTGCTCCAGGAGCTCAGATGAGCCACCTACCTGCTCCAGGAGCTCAGATGAGCCACCTACCTGCTCCAAGAGCTCAGATGAGCCACCTACCTGCTCCAAGAGCTCAGATGAGCCAACTACCTGCTCCAAGAGCTCAGATGAGCCACCTACCTGCTCCAAGAGCTCAGATGAGCCACCTACCTGCTCCAAGAGCTCAGGGGAGCCACCTACCTGCTCCTGAAGCTCAGAGGAGGTGGCCATAGCACCTTACTGATGCCACGCACGCGTTCCACTAGCATTAAACCACTTATTAAGGTCAACACAGCGAGGAGAGCTTGGCATGAAGACCTGCTCGTTACATCATGTATGTGAGGCACATCAGTGCTCACCAGTTACTGGCCTCACTTATATGCTTATTACCACTCTCCACTTCTGCTTGAGATATGTGAGTCTTGTGTGTGTGTGACTTAGAAGAGCATTTCTTCAAGTATTATTATTGATATAATTATTATTGAATTGTCAATTTTTTTTGTCTTTATCCACTTTCATTGTTGTTATTACTTCTCCTCCTTTTTATTTTCATTCGCCTCCCCTTTCCCCTTCCTTCTTCTTGCTCCTCTTCCCCCCTTGCTTCTCCCCCCTCCTCCTCCCCCCCTCCCCCTTCTCCCCCCTCTTTCTTCTCCCCCCTCCTCCTCCTCCTTACCCCTCCTTCTCCTCCTTCCCCCTCCTTCCCCCTTCTCCACCTCCTTCCCCCTCCTTCCCCCTCCTCCTCCTCCTTCCCCCTCCTCCTCCTCCTTCCCCCTCCTCCTCCTCCTCACCCCCCCCCCCTCGCTCACCTGAGCGTGGCATGAGCCTGAGGGCACGTTACTGAGGCGGGTAATGTTGTTGTTACAGGAGGAACAGATGCGGGTCGACCCTGAGGAACCCATGTCCCCCATGTCCCCTATGTCTCAGGGCTCGGACCACGACCACGAGAAACCCACCGTCAGACAGGTGAGTCCCGCGCGCGCGCACGTTCTTCTGTAGGGCTCTGGCTCACTGGTGTCTGGATGCTGTGAGCTCTCGCTCGCTCTCTCTCTCTCTCTCTCTCTCTCTCTCTCTCTCTAATTGGGTAAAAATCCCCCACATTACTTATCTTTTGTTATGCAAAGTGTAGGCCTTAAAATAATATAATACGAGTTTTATTTTATGCGGAGACCTATATTGTGTTTAATTCTAAGCTACGCCCCCCATGTTATGTAGAAATGAGCCTGAAGACATACATCTATTGAGTTTGTGTCAATATATGAGGACTTGGCGCTGGTGGGCCAAGATTCCTTCTACAGCACCTGTGTATGGCTCTGTGCTCTTGGGTCTGGGCAGCAGGCGGAGGGTTCTTGGGTCTGGGCAGCAGGCGGAGGGTTCTTAGGTCTGGGCAGCAGGCAGAGGGTTCTTAGGTCTGGGCAGCAGGCGGAGGGTTCTTGGGTCTGGGCAGCAGGCGGAGGGTTCTTAGGTCTGGGCAGCAGGCGGAGGGTTCTTGGGTCTGGGCAGCAGGCGGAGGGTTCTTAGGTCTGGGCAGCAGGCGGAGGGTTCTTAGGTCTGGGCAGCAGGCGGAGGGTTCTTAGGTCTGGGCAGCAGGCGGAGGGTTCTTGGGTCTGGGCAGCAGGCGGAGGGTTCTTGGGTCTGGGCAGCAGGCGGAGGGTTCTTGGGTCTGGGCAGCAGGCGGAGGGTTCTTGGGTCTGGGCAGCAGGCGGAGGGTTCTTGGGTCTGGGCAGCAGGCGGAGGGTTCTTGGGTCTGGGCAGCAGGCGGAGGGTTCTTGGGTCTGGGCAGCAGGCGGAGGGTTCTTGGGTCTGGGCAGCAGGCGGAGGGTTCTTGGGTCTGGGCAGCAGGCGGAGGGTTCTTGGGTCTGGGCAGCAGGCGGAGGGTTCTTGGGTCTGGGCAGCAGGCGGAGGGTTCTCGGTTGGCTGGATTCCTTAATCTTATATTTGTTATCGAAACTTGTTTCATGTTAGAGCCTTATACATATCAGTGAGGGATGCAGGGATCATTGATATCATTGATCTTATACATAGTAAGGCGGGTGGATATCTTTGATCCACCACAACCCGGTACACATGATTGATGGAGGAGTTTCCTGCCCCCCTCCTCCCTCGGGCACACCAGTCTTAGGCTTAGCTCCCTCGCCAGTATCTGTATCTGGTTGATACCTGGTTGATGGGGTTCTGGGAGTTCTTCTACTCCCCAAGCCCCGGCCCGAGGGCAGGCTTGACTTGTGAGAGTTTGGTCCACCAGGCTGTTGCCTGGAGCGGCCCGCAGGCCCACATACCCACCACAGCCCGGTTGGTCCGGCACTCCTTGAAGGAAACAATCTAGTTTCCTCTTGAAGAATGTCCACAGTTGTTCCGGCAATATTTCTGACGCTCGCTGGTAGGACGTTGAACAACCGTGGACCTCTGCTGTGAGGCGTGGCGCCACACGAGTGAGGCGCTGTGGCTCATTGTCTGCGGTCTGCATAGCATCTCTGCTGGTTATTTTTGTGTCAATAGTGAAGCACCACCTGGGTCTGCTGGCTGTGTGTAGTATACGCAGCTCTCTCAGGTGTTGTCCCCCCCCACCCCCCTGGCTCTCTGAGCTTGGGGGGGGGGGGGGGCGCCCCACCCTTATTTCTGGCATGTGCTCAAGTTCACTCTTCAAAACAAAAGAAATTGAGTCGTGTTTATTTGTCTTAAAACTTTCTTGTCATTCTCCATGACCTCATTTATTCTTCCTTTACAGCTAATTACCTGATGGTTTTGTTGACAGGGGGTTTTCCTGCTGTGTGTGTACTCACCTAGTTGTGCTGGCAGGGGTTGAGCTTTGTCTCTTTGGTCCCGCCTCTTAACTGTCAATCAACTGGTGTACAGGTTCCTGAGCCTACTGGGCTCTATCATATCTACATTTGAAACTGTGTATGGAGTCAGCCTCCACCACATCACTTCCTAGTGCATTCCATTTATTAACTACTCTGACACTGAAAAATTCTTTCTAATGTGTCTGTAGCTCATTTGGGTACTAAGTTTCCACCTGTGTCCCCTTGTTCGTGTTCCACCCGTGCTTAAGAGTTTAACTTTGTCCACCCTGTCAATTCCGCCTGAGAATTTTGTAGGTGGTTATCATGTCTCCCCTTACTCTTCTGTTTTTCCTGGGATCTTCTCTAACTTTGTCTTGTGTTTAACTAGATATGAACTCCAGGCTGGAGCTGCATATTCCAGGATTGGTCTTACATAAGTGGTATACAGGGTCCTGAACGATTCCTTACACAAGTTTCTAAAGGCAGTTCTTATGTTGGCCAGTCTAGCATATGCCGCTGATGATATCCTTTTGATGTGGGCCTCTGGGGACACACACTGGTGTGTGTGTGTGTGTGTGTGTGTGTGTGTGTGTGTGTGTGTGTGTGTGTGTGTGTGTGTGTGTGTGAGGGGAGGTAGTCACCAACCCCCAACTGGCCGGTCCTCCACCTCTCGTCCACACTTAACCCCAGTTATCACCTTAATGGTAAACACCCATTACCACACCAATTTTCTCAGTTAATTGACCGTGTAGGAATGTAATTTAGCTTTCTAATTGAATGCATTGTTGCTTCTACCCCCCCCCCCCACCCCCCACCCCTCACTCTCCTGCTCCAACCTCTCCTCCCCCCCCCCCCCTGTTCTCCAGTTAGGCACAATACATGAGGTTGTGCACTCTGACGTTGACATCCACGACGGACGCTGCCAGCACACTGTCCCTGGAAGACAGAAGAGTATGGGGAGACATGATCACCACCTACAAAATTCTCAGGGGAGTTGATTGGGGTGGACGAAGATAAACTATTTAGCACGGGTGGAACACGAACAAGGGGGACACAGGTGGAAACCTAGCACCCAAATGAGACATAGAGACATTAGAAAATATATTTTTCAGTGTCAGAGTAGTTAATAGATGGAATGCATTGGGCAGTGATGTGGTGGAGGCTGACTCCATACACAGTTTTAAGTGTAGATATGATAGAGTTCAACAGACTCGGGAACCTGTGCACCAGGGAGAGGCGGGACCCAAGACACAAAGCTCAACACCCCCGCAAGCACACCTAGGTGAGTAGTGTGGCCCGCGCAGGTGCCTCCGTCACCTTGGTAGAGTTACCTAAGGTCGCGCACCAAGTGTGAGGTGTCACTAGGGGGGGGGGCGCCATTCACAAGGGTGAGTCATGCCACAATTCACTAACACCAGCACTCACTCATCATAACAGTTGCGATCTGCAGTTATGCGCGCGCACAGGACAGGCAGCTGCGCGCGCATAGGACGGAGCAGCTGCGCGCGCAAAGGACGGAACAGCGGTCAGCAGAATAGTGGAGGCAGCTGGCGAGGGTGTGAGTCAGGCAGCGAGTGGCTCTCACAGTTATGTCAGTCGTCAGGTAGTGGTGAGGGGGCGTGGCTCCCCCTCCCCCCACCTGGTGTGGTCTTAGGCCCCCCCCATCACTGACCACTACAACAGTTGGTCTCTCCCTCACACTTGTCACTCTCACTCACGACGTTATTCAGTGTCCAGTGACTCGTTATTACTCCCTCACACCTCCCGTTGTGAGGGACCTCCAGCCCAATATTTATTTTGTCTATTTAGAGAGGAATGACGATGTAAAACAAGGCACAATTGTTTGGAGGATAAGGGAGAGGTGAGAGGAAGAGAGGAGTAGAGAGGGAGAGAGGGAGAGGTAACGCTGACTGAGAGCTCTCACTAACACACACACACACACACACACACACACACACACACACACACACACACACACACACACACACTGACCTCTCTAGTAGCCACCATCCTCAGCCTAAACGGGACTTAACTTGTGTAAAATATCATTACTTCAAGTACCGATTTCTGATGTTAGTACCACCATCTATGCCACCCCTCCTCCTCCTCCTTCCCTAGGACTGGGGAAGGAGGAGGAGACTACTACTTATTTGTAAACCTGTGAGGTATACGCACAGGTGACCTTGGCAGGTGCAGGGAGTACACAGGTAGGCGACCACCCACCACCTTGGCAGGTGGTGGGTGGTCGCTGCTGAAGGAGTCTGTTGATATAAATAGTGTTTAAATATTTAAGCAAAAATAACATTAACTCCTTTTATGATGTTATTCCTTAAGATGGTTTTGGTTGTAGTGTGTTGTTGTCGAGTCCTGGAGGCCCGGTCTCTCCGGTGTGAGTCCTGGGGGGCCCGGTCTCTCCGGTGTGAGTCCTGGGGGCCCGGTCTCTCCGGTGTGAGTCCTGGGGGGGCCCGGTCTCTCCGGTGTGAGTCCTCGGGGGGACGGTCTCTCCGGTGTGAGTCCTGGGGGACCACTCAGGACCCTCCGTGGCAGTTGACCCCTGGCAGGCAAGGTCACAGTGTCAAGCACCCGTGTCAGCTGTGGTGTTGGGGAGAGCCAGCAAGCTGTGATGGCCACCTGCTACACCCCTACCCTCCCCCCTCTCCTCTTACTCAGCGGTGTGTGCCAGCCTCTTTACCCCCCCCCCCCCCCCCCCCCCCCCCCCACACCTCCCCCTCACAACTCAGAGATCTATCTATCTATATATCTCTATATATATCTATCTCCATATATATCTATCTCTATATATATCTATATCTCTCTATATATCTCTATATATCTCTATATATCTATCTCTATATCTCTCTATATATATATCTATCTATCTCTATATATATCTATCTATATATGTATCTCTCTATCTCTCTCTCTCTCTCTCTCTGGCAAATCTTGTGTTGTGACCTGAGAGGGGTCAGGCAGGTGAGAAGCCTCGCCAGGTGAGGGTGAATGCGTGGCAAGACTTGTGCCTGAGAACCTCAACACAACACACACACGACAATACATGTTCTCTACAAGTTTAAGACTTAAAACATGATAAGTGAGTTTGGGTGAAGGGGAGGAGGGGCCATATGCGCGGTTCGGTACAAAGACGCGCCGGCTTTGATAACCTTAGCAAGCTGGGGAGATAGC